GTATAACAAAACAAAACATTTTACTAAATAACATTTAGTAAATTTTTCAAAAATGTTCGCTACACATAAAATTATTTCATCTTCCTTGATCATGGCACAGTAACAATAAAATGCAATCATCAAGTACTACACACTCACCCCATACATACATACGTGCAGGCTGGATGCCTACAAATACTTAAATTGTAGCAGGACATTTAAAAGATAATCTCATGAGGGGCGCCTGGATGGCTCAGTTGGTTGAGCATCTGACTTCAGCTCAGGTCATGATCTCGCAGTCTCTGAGGTCAAGCCCCACATCCGGCTCTGTGCTGATAGCTCAAAGCCTGGAACCTGCTTCTGATTCTGTCTCCCTTTCCCTCTGCCCCTCCCCCACTTTCTTTCTTTCTGTCTGTCTGTCTCTCAAAAAATAAACACTTAAAAAAAGATTTTTAAAGATAATCTCATGAAATCCCTGACTGATTTGATAAATTCTCTTTATGACTATATATATTTGAGCTGTTCCATGTTTTTTAACCAGTTTTCACAATAACAAAATCCACTTCACATTTTTTAAACAATTCTTCTTAATAGTATATCATCTAAGAGAGTTATTATGATTCCATATTACCTAATATATAGTTCATATTCAAATTTCTCTAATTATACCTAAAATGTGTAGCTTTTAAGAGATAAGGAGAAAGAGAGAGAGAGAGATCTGCCTCTACGACACTCTCAAGGTACACATACAGTTGGCATATCTCTTTAGTCTCCTTCATTTTAGAATGTTCCCACCACTGTTCTTTCTTTTATGAAGAGGACATTTGCAGGACAGATGTCTTACAGAATGTACACATTTTGGATCTGATTCATACTTCATAAACAGATTTAAGTTAAACATTTTTGGCAGAAATACTATCTAGATGGTATTGTGTATGCCTCATTACATCACTTCAAGAGTCACAGGTCAGTCTGTCCCACTGCAGGTCATGCTAAATTTGATTGTGTTGATAGGGTGTGAGTCCCAGATCTCTCCACCAAGAAAATATGTCTTTCTCTTTGCAGTGCATAAATAATTGGTAGGGTGACACCTTAAAACCATGTCAACATTCTGTTCACCTACAATCTTTTACTCCATGGTTTTAATGTCCAGTAATAATCCTTGCTTGGCTCAATTATCAGCACAATCATCATCACTCCTTCTACATATTTAGCTACCCTTCTGCTGTAAAGGACTTTACATTCTGTCCCTCTCCCCTATTTGTTTGGTTTTTTTTCTTTGTATTGGGGTAGGATTTTTTAGTAAGCATCATTATGGATCAACAGAGCATTTTTTCTGTGTTATCAGTGATAACCCTTCAAGTGGGCTCCTAGGATCTTTTGACACGTCCCCGTCTGTCTGAGTTCTTCTTGCTTTCCGATGTAAAATGTTCTAAGAACTCACACCCCATGTTCTGGAATCGGGAATTCTTGTAAGGAACATTGGCTCCTTTCTGTAGGAAACAGAATTTGGAAACCAAATTTGGGCATTGAGTATGCTCACTCTTATGAGGGTATCATTGCTTTTAAGCCCTTTCCATGGACTGAGATAGAAAATATATTTTTAAAAACCTGTGAATTCACATTTATACCTCCAATTCAAATTCAAAGCTCCCTATTTATATCTCCTAAGAACACTGGTTCTCCAAAATTTAATACAATTACTCATTCGCTCTGTCCTGTATTACACACAAAATAATTTCAGAATTACCACACAAAGTGCTCCTAACAACAACCAATTGCTAAGTATAAAGATCCCTTTGTAGGTTATGATTCTTAAAATATTTCCCTCCAAGTTTGTATGGTCAGAATGTTTTATAAGCTGCTTAAATTAATTTTGGGGTAAGGGTGTTAATGAATTCGTTAGGTTCATTTGTTTCTATTTGTATTCAATTTTAGGGTTTGCTTTTTAAATCATTTTTTACTTAGTTTTGTTGTTTGAATATGTGAAACATTTCCATAGTTCAAAAGTCACAAGTATATAAAAACATTATCAGAGAGGCCTCCCTTCCACCCTTATCCCCGCCCCCCACTCTGCCCCCTCACTCCTGCCCCACTCCTCACAGATAACTATTTCACTGATCTCTGGGTTAATCCTTCCTGTGTTTCTCTTTTGCAAAAATAAGCTTAACTTTTCCCCTATTTCCCCTTCTTTATTACTACAAAGGGACCATAATTACTACACAAGCACACATCTTATTGTCTTTCACTTTACTGCACTTCACAGATACTGTGGATTTCACAGGTTGAAGGTTTGTGGGAACCCTGCATCCAACAAGGCTGTTCATGCCATTTTTCCAACAGCATGTGCTCACTTTGTGTCTCTGTGTCACAATTTGGCCACCCTCACAATATTTCCAACTTTTTTTTCATGGTGATCTGTAATCAAGGATCTCTGATGTTAGTATTATCATTGTTTGGGGGCACCAAAACGGCACCCACAGAAGACAGCAAACCTCATCGATACATGTTGTGCGCGCTCTGACTTCTCCACCAACCGGGCATTCCCGCATCTCTCTCCTACTCCTCGGGCCTCTTCCCTGAGACACAACAGGACTGAAATTAAGCCAATGAATAACCCTACAGTGACCTCTAAATGTTCAAGGGAAAGAGTCGCACATCTCTTACTTTAAATCAAAAGCTAGAAATGATTCAGCTTACTGAGAAAGACATGTCAAAAGCTGAGACAGGCCAAAAGCTAGGCATCTTATGCCAGTTAGCCAAGCTGTGAATGCAAAAGAAAAGTTCTTGAAGGAAAATTAAAAGAGCTACTCCAGTGAACACATGAATGATAAGAAAGCTAAACAAACTTATTGCTTATAATGGAGAAAGTTCTGGTCTGGATAGAAGATCAAACAAGCTACCACATTCCCTTAAGCCAAAGCCTAATTCAGAGCAAAGCCCTAACTTTCTTCAATTATTTGACAGCTGAGAGAGGTAAGGAAGCTGCAGAAGAAAAGCTGGAAGCTAGCAGAGTTGGGTTCATAAGGTTTAAGGAAAGATGCTGTCTCTGTAACATAAAAGTACCAGGTGAAGCCACGAGTGTTGATGTGGAAGCTGTAGCAAGTTTTCCAGAAGATTGAGCTAAGATCATGAATGAAGGTGGCTACACTAAACAACAGATTCTCAGTGAAGATGAAACAGCCTTAGATAAGAAGATGTCATCTCGGACTTTGAGAGAGAAGTCAATGCCTGGTTTCAAAGCTTCAAAACACAAGCTGACTCTTGGTAGGGGCCTAATGCAGCTGGTGACTTTAAGTTGAAGCTTACACTCACTTGCCATTCTGAAAATCATAAGGCACTTAAGAATTATGCTCAATCTACTCTGCCTGTGCTCCAAAAATGGAACAATAAAGTTTGGACGACAGCACATCTGCTTACAACTTGGTTCACTGATTAGTTTAAACCCACTGTTGAGACCTACTGCCCAGAAAAAAAGATTCCTTTCAAAATATGACTGCTCAGTGATCACGTACTTGGTCACCCAAGAGCTCTGATGGAGAGGTACAATAAGAATGATGGTGTTTCCATGCCTGCTAACACAACATCCATTCTGTAGCCCATGGATCAAGGAGTAATTTTGATTTTCAAGTCTTATTACTTAAGAAATACATTTCATAAGGCTATAGCTGCCATAGATAGTGATTCCTCTATAGATCTGGGCAAAGTAAGCTGAATACCTTCAGGAAAGGATTCACCATTCTACATGTCGTGAAGAATACTCATGACTCATGAGAGGAGGTCAAAATATCAGGAAGAGTCCATCAATGTGGCAAATTTCATGTTGTCTTATCTTAACCACAGCCACCCCACCCTTCACCAAGCACAACCCTGATCAACTGCAGCCATCGGTATGAAGGCATGAACCTCCACCAGCAAAAAGATTAAAACTCACTGAAAGTTTAGATGACAGCATTTTTAGCAAGAAAGTATTTTTAAATTAAACTGTACATTGTGTTTTTAGACATAATGCTATTGCATGCTTAACAGATGATAGTATAGTGTAAACATAACTTTCATATGTACTAAAAACAAAAAAATTCATTTGACTCTCTTTATTGCAGTACTTGCTTTACTGCAGTGGGTCTAACCGAACATACGGTATCTCCAACATATGCCTGTATATACACTTTCTATCTGGAAATCATTCTATATCAGCTTATAGAAATCTTCCTTATTCTTTTCAGTATCACAGTTCAGTCTCTTATGGACATTTAGTTTTTTTCCCCTAATATCCTGCTATTACAAATAATCCTCTAATAAAAAACTTCGGGCATATAGAATCCCATATTTGTACAGGTACTTCATCAGGGTAAATCACTAGAACTCGGACATGTAGGTGAATGTGGGTATAGTTTCGTTGGATATTACAAAACTCTCAAAATTATAGCACTTCACATTCCCATCAGCAATGTAAGAGAGTGTGTATTTCTTCACAGACTTACCAACTAAGCATAGTCTATTCTTTTGAACTTTTGCCGATCTAAAAAGGTGAAAATGGTCTGTGTATTTTAATTTGCATTTCTCCTATTGTTCATGAAGTTGAACATTTTTTCATATACGGTCATACGTACCGTCATGTCTTCTGCTCATTTTCAAAACCACAATATAAATCTTTCTTTTAATGGAAAAGTTACTTCAATAATGCCTTCAAACTTTATTGAAGAATGTGTGATTTAACCAAGAATACTAACAACACTTACAACTATATTATCACATTTTATACTGCATTCCAAATAGTCCATTAAAAAGAGACAGTTATTTCAACTGAGAAGAATGTTAAGAAAAATGCATTTAAGTACAAATTTAGGAAGCTAACTAACATGACTGGCTAATCCCACAAATAACCATGCCACTGGTTTTTTCAGATTTTAATCTCAATTCTAGTTAGTTAACATAAAGTGTAATATTGGTTTCAAGAATAGAATATAATGATTCATCACTTGAGAGACATTTTCTTTTAACAGCTCCATCACACCCACCTCATTAGTACAGGTAATTCTTCGAGGATGAGGGGCTTCCTGCTGCAGCTGATACACTGTAAAGACAGAAAGTAAATCATTCCATATCGGCTCACAGATATCTTGCTCATTCTTTTTGGTGTTATAGGTTATTCAATTAGTCTCCTATGGCAGACATTTAAGTTTTTTCTATTATTCTGCTATTACAAATAATCCTAAATTTCCCTTATGTAGCAAGTATGAACATATTAGGAATCACAAACTGGCTGCTTTTTTACATTCACAAGAAAACTGTGGTACAATTCTATTTGTTATAAAACTAAGATTTGTTAAGAGCAACAAATTAATAGAACGTAAAACAAACTAAACTTCGTGAAAGCCCAAAGCCAAGCATAAATGAATAAACAGAAAAATCATAATCCACACAAATGTCTTTTTACCTTATAACAAATCAGTACCGGGTATTTGGCTGGGTTCTCCATAATCTGGTCCTTTATTTTCCTGAATTCCTGGTGGCTGTATTGCATAAGGCATGTCTCCAACATAAGCCAATAATGGTTATATATATGTATATTTTTTAATCTTTATTTATTTTTGAGACAGAGAGCATGAGTGGAGGAGGGGCAGAGAAAGGAGACACAGAATCCAAAGCAGGCTCCAGGTTCTGAGCTGTCAGCACAGAGCCCAACACGGGGCTCGAACCCAAAGACCATGAGATCATGACCTGAGCCAAAGTTGGACGCTTAACTAACTGAGCCACCCAGGCGCCCCTGGATTTTGCTTTTTTATCCAATCTGACAATCTCTGCCAATGGTTATATATTTTTATATATAATATATATTTTTAATATATATATTTTTAAAGCACATTATTACATGTTAAACTTGAAACTAAAAATTAGGATCATGGTAGAAGTAACAGATGTGTTTTTCTCCCCTATATATATTGCAAACATCTATCTTCAAAGCTAATCTCCCCTATAAACAAAATTTCTGAGCCCAAGTTACCACCACAACTAGAGTAAATGCAGCAAAAGAAAGAATTCCATTAAAATAATTTGCCAAGGAAAGGATAATTTTTAGGGTATCTGAAAATGAATCAGTGAAAATTATACCAATACCATGACATTCTAGTCTCACTTCAAGATTTCTGATTTGTAATAAAGAAAGAATGAAAAGAACATGGTGGTCATCAGAGAAAGTATGTTTATGCATATCTAAGTTTATCTCTTGGAGGGGATCTTTCTTCTGTTTCTACATATATAATCACATATAACTGAATTTAAGTTAACAATGTATTTAGGGGCGTCTGGGTGGCTCAGTTGGATAAGCATCCAACTTCAGCTCAGGTCATAATCTCAAGGCTTTTGAGTTTGAGCCCCATGTAGGGCTCTGTGCTGAAAGCTCAGAGCCTGGAGCCTGCTTGGGATTTTGTGTCTCCCTCTCTCTCTCTGCCCCTCCCACACTCATGCTCTGTCTCTCTCTCTCTAAAATAAACATTAAAATAATAATAATATTTTAATACGTAGACATCTGTCAACATAACATCAAACTAATCAGACATCTACAATTGTCAGATAATGAATGACTCAAATTCAACGAGACATCATTATAGACTCCACCTCTAATCATATTCACTCATATACATCATAGGAACATACATAAGTATGTACAATTACACATTTATACACCTATACACATACATACAGACATACAATTAGACTATATACATGTATAGGTATTTGTACAGGTAACTCCTCAGGGTAAATCACTAGAACTTGGACTGGTAGGTAAATGCAGGCATATACACAAAATATAGACTGAGAACATATACAGATACACTGCACTGTTCTGTATTGCTTTTCAAAAGCAATATAACGGGTCGCCTGGGTTGCTCAGTCGGTTAAGCGTCCAACTTTGACTCAGGTCATGAGCTCATGGTTCGTGGGTTCGAGCCCCACGTCGGGCTCTGTGCTGACAGACAGCTCAGAGCCTGGCGCCTGCTTCAGTTTCTGTATCTCCCTCGCTCTCTGACCCTCTCCTGCTCACGTTCTTTCTCTCAGAAATAATTTTTTTTAATTAAATAAATAAATAAATAAATAAAGACAATCAAGCATGGCAGTTAAAAATCTGAACTCTTGACGTCATGATCCCAGGGTGATGGGATTGAGCACTGTGTTGGGCACCATGCTGAGTGTGGAGCCTGCTGTGGAGCCTGCTTGAGAGTCAGTCAGTCTCTCTTTCTCTCTCTCTCTCTCTCTCTCTGTGTCTCTCTCTCTCTCCCCTCTTCTGTCCCTATCCCTCCCTCCCTCTAGGAAAGAAAATCAGAGGGGCACCTGGGTGGCTCAGCAGGTTGGACACCCTACTTCAACTCAGGTCATGATCTCATCGCTCCTCAGTTCGAGCCCCGCGTCAGGCTCTGTGCTGACAGCTTGGATCCTGGAGCCTGCTTCCAATTCTGTGTCTCCCTCTCTCACTCACACTCTGTCTCTTTCTCTCAAAAATAAATAAACATTAAAAACTTAAAAAAAAAAAAAAAGAAAGAAAAAAAGAAAAGAAAATCAGAATACAGTTAAAAAAAAAAAAAAAAAAAAAGAACCTGAACTTTGCCTTTTTCTCCTGGTTCCAAAAATGCCGAAGAGAAGGATCATACATTAAAAATGGTTTTAGATAGCCATATATTATCATGAAAGTTAGTTTTTCAGGAATATTCCTGAGAATACATTGTTATGGATTAAAGAGATATGGAGGGAGTGGTTCTGAGATGGAGAAGGGAAGAAGGAGAGCAGATACCAAGTCTGTCCAGCAGCCCTGAGAGTGACAGAACACATGTGTCCCACAGATACACCCAGATAAATCTCCAACCTCCTAAGCGAAGCCACCACATGACTTGCACGAAGGGCAGATTCTTCAGGTCCACTCCTCCACAGTGGTAACTACTGGGTGTGAAAATTCAGTTCACATTTCCGCTTTGATCAGTAATCCTCAAAAGATCAACTGTTTTCTTTTGTCAAGAAAATGCCTGGCAAAGTACAGTCACCTATGGAAACTCAATTATGAGGACTAAATGGTAGTCAAGAAGGACATGAAACGTTACTAGAGAATATAAAATGTTGATTTTGATTCAAAGCACAAATACATACGTATATAGTTATCACCCTTAATGGATTTACCTATTTACTAAGGAAACATTAAGATAAGCCAATTTGAAAAAAGGAGTGACATTCGTGTCACAAGAGAATTTTACTCTGTTTTAATCAGTGTTTCAAAGGGTCCGGTTATGCTTCATGGAGAAGAGTAACTTTTACACAAATGCCTCCTCATTTGCTACCAATGGTTAGTCTATCTTTTAAGACTCATTTTTAATAAGTAATATATAAAGGAGGGCCTTCAGATATTGATTAACTATACAGTTACTGTATATTTGTAACATATGACTTCAGTGATCAAAAAGATCATTAAAAAGATCACCGCAATAAATACTACTTCAGGCTCTTCTCAATTTAGAATTCTTTGTAATTTAAACTGGAACTCAGCTGAAATTTAAATTGCATAATCATAAAATGAGTCACCAAAAATTGTTAAATTCAATATGAGAAGATATATGATTAAAGTACTTAACATCTTTTAATCATCTTAGAAGTACCAATGATTATACACTTATTAATGAATATCTCAATTCCTGAAGACATTAAAAAATGTTCATCAAGTTCAGAGATCACAAATGGGTGTCTTGAGGTCAAAACTGGCTCACATGTGTTTGGTTTGCTGTTTTCTAAATTTAAATTTGTTTTTAAAATTTAAAAATTAAGAGATTGAACAACAACAACAAAGGCAAAAGAGAATTAGACTTCTTTTGAAAATCATAAGATCTGATAACATCAGAGCAAGAGTTCAATAAAGTGGAGCTAATTATGAGCTACCCCCTACAAATAGGGATCTATGCTCTACTTTCTCTTGGTTACCACCTGGCTCATTTGCGTCATTTATTACAGATTAGGGCCCTGGTTTAATTCAAGCAATTTGTATCAAAAAGCAATAAAACTATATTTAAAAGGAATCCTCGGGATGCCTGGGTAGCTCAGTCGGTTAAGTGTCTGACTTTGGCTCAGGTCATGATCTCAAGGTTCCTGAGTTCAAGCCCTGCATTGGGCTCTGTGCTGACAGCCCAGAGCCTGAAGCCTGCTTCAGATTCTGTCTCCCTCTCTGTCTCTGTCCCTCCCCCACTCACACTCTTTCAAGAATAAACAAACATTAAAAAAAATTTTTTTTAATAAAAAGAATCCTCAACTTAGACGTCTTGCTAGTTCTATTTTCCTATTGGTTCATATTTGTAATGTTTTAGAATTATGTTGTGGGGAGCTCAGACATTGAGGTTACAAATAAAAAACTATAAAAGTCAGTAGCAGAACTGTCTCCAAAAAATATTTTTTTTTATTTTTTTAAATAATTTTTTTTTGATACAGTGTTTTTTTTTTATTTTTATTTATTTTTTTTTTTATNGAGGGTCAGAGAGAGAGGGAGTCACAGACTGAAACAGGCTCCAGGCTCTGAGCTGGCAGCACAGAGCCCGACGCGGGGCCCGAACCCATGAACCACGAGATCATGACCTAAGCGAAAGTCGGACGCTTAACCGACTAAGCCACCCAGGCGCCCCTCCAAAAAATATTTTAAAAAGAAGGGGAAAAATGCCATTTTTTAAAAAAATGATAGCCACTATAAGACATTTAGAGATACAGAAATACAAATTGTCTATACTATGTTTAGTGATCAATATTCTTCAGAGGAAATAAATGATCGTCGTGATTCCATAACAGTATGAGGCTTCACAGATGCTCTTACATAAGAAATGTGCAAGGTACAAGTCAGAACAAAGAGAACAAAGGTAAACTGAAAACCAGAAAATGCAGACAAGAATTTTAAACAGGATTCTAGCCAATGAGATTATGAGACAAAATCTTTAAGAAGTAAAGAACATTAGTCATTTTTATACATCCTTTGAACTATACTTCCCATAAACAAAAAGGCACAGGCAGGGGTGGGGAAAAAGTCTCTATGGCAATATTTTTAGAGACTGTTCATATATTGCTTACTATAATTAGACCAAAGTAGCAACCTATTGAAATAGAACTATCTGTTGTTCTGGGAACATAAAACCAAGAATCTGAATTGCTGCTCCTGCAGGAAGCAAATTTCATCAACTTACAAATATCAAAATTTAGGATAACTCAACACTTAGAAAGATGTTGATAATGTATATTTAAAGTACAGGTTTCTCAGGTTGCTTATGCAACTCCATAGATAAATGAAAACTTACGGTAATGGTGTCAGCAGTAGTGTATTCATGGATTTCTTTATAAAGCTACTTTGATTATATTAATCCTATTTCCCACTTTTAAAAAATCTGAAATCTCTTTTACTTGAAGAAAGAATATTCTCAAGGACAAGGAAGGGAAAATAAAGAACAAAAAACTTAGACTCTTGAAAAGATTTTTACTCTAATGTGAAGTTTAAAGAGCAATATAGAACTCAAATGTGTCTCTCTCATATTCAGGGAAGCAATTCCTTAAAAAAAAAAAAAAAAAAAAAAAGACTTCTCTTTTGCCTGTTTTCATCCATTCATTCTATGAAGACAGCCTCCTGACTTATCCATAGTCCTTTTGATATACAGAATTAGGATCCAAGAATAATTAGATTGCTTGAATTCTCAGTTTCTCCTTTCATTAGTTTTTAATCAGCCAATATCAACAAGTGGCCTCAAGTTCAACATGGAATTTCATGCAAGCTCAGAGAGATGAGATACATTCCAGACATGCAAACCATAGACAGGCCTTATGGAAACACTCCTGTTTTTCCACAATTACTGCTTACACACTGTTCCCAAATCCTGCTATAAATCAATTTTTCAATAATGCATATAAAATGAAATAAATCTTCATATCTACTGATTTTAATGTTTCTATATCACTGATAAAACACTATACCCCACCCAATTTAAAATTATTTGTATACTTACAATAAGATTTCCAAACAGGAGGTCTATATTCATCTGTATCTGAAAGAATAAACACCAAATTATTGAATATTTATATTTTAATCACACATGGTTAATATACATTAATTTATATTAATATATTTAATATACATTAAGCTATATTAATATATATTTAATATATATTTATTGAAGTCTATGTGTCCTAGGCATTGTGTTAGACTCTAAAGGGCTTTCAGAGGCTTTTTTAGTCTTGGTCCTTACTTTCTTGGGAGTACAGTTTTACACAGATGTTCAAATAAAGGTAGTGTATTTATTCAACTGTTGAGCACATAAAAACACCAAGGTTAATTTTTACAGCATGCACTCATTTCTCACAGCCACTAATAGTCAATAAAGTCTTTGTATCTTTGGGGTTAATTCCACAATTAAGAGATTTTTCAGATCCATGAAATTATTGGTTTCCTTTTTCAGTCAAACTCACAAGACAACAGTTTTAAATCTCAGAAATATACCCCCCCATCACATGTTGGGGATTCCAGTGTAAGCGGCTTTAGTAACTTCAGGAGAGAAGAGCAACAAGGTATTTAGTCTTCATATATCATGAACAATCAAAACCAGGAAATGAGACACACTTCAGTAGAAGAGAGCGCATCCAGGGAGCCACAAAGAACATGAGGTGAACATCTGCTCTTCAAGTCCATTTCCCCTCACTCTGCTTGAATGAGGATTTAGGAGACAGTGTAAAAGAGGAGGTGGAAAGAGATGGAAATAAAAACACATGCGGGAGATGGGGGGAAGTAGAAAACAGAGAGGCACCAGTGTGGTCTGGCATCTCACCAGTAAAGCACAGCTCAGTAATAATTTTGCTGGTCAAGAGCTCTGCCTGCAGGACCATGTAGCCAAATCGGCCTACACAGCGTCTTGGCGTGGGGATACGTGGCCAGCTACATCACCTGGTTCTGCTAGCCCCCGACATGAACCCACTAAGGAATCTGGTCCAAAACTCTTCGTCTCCAAGGAGGTAAGAAAATTTATGAAAAGTTTATTGAGAAGGCTGAACCAAGCATATGTAGGTTAAGTAAAAAAGATTATAGACTCAAGACATTCCCCTCAACCTTTAAAATGCCCACACTTCACATATGTGATCATAAACCACACAAATATTTGAGTCAGAGGGCTACAGCAAGACTACTAACGAGAGGCATTCGAACACAAAAAGGAAATTCTAAGTCATGTAGAGATTGCTTGACACCCAGTAGGAGTGTTCAAATATGTTTTTTAATGAACAAATAAAAGATGACATGAATAAATGGTAAGGAAGTAACACAGCAAATACAGTTGCCTCTCATTATTTGTCATAGTTCTGTTCTACAGAGTCACCTTGAACACTCAATTAGTGAGTACTGAACCACTTTTCCTCAGGGAAAACACCAGGTTAGTTTCCTGTATGCCTCTGGTCACAACATTCTCATCAACCCACGAATACATAATCTTGTTTATTTGTTTCTGTTTAAAGACACCTTATTTAGGGGCACCTGGGGGGCTTAGTTGGTTAAGCTTCCGACTTTCGCTTAGGTCATGATCTCACGGTTCATGGGTTCGAGCCCCGCGTCGGGCTCTGTGCTGACTGCCAGCTCAGAGCCTGGAGCCTGTTTCAGAGTCTGTGACTCCCTCTCTCTCTGACCCTCCCCTACTCATGCTGTCTCTCTCCTAGAAATAAATAAAACATTTAAAAAAATAAATAAATAAATAAAGACACCTTATTTAATAAATATTGTGATTCATTAGCACTGAACTACAGCCAATAGTGCTATAACTCATGCCTCAGTGAAGCTTATGCAGCACGTGTATCTTCTCCATAAGATACATCAGCGCCTCCTTGAGCTTCGGAACCCCAGACAGCACTTCACCACTATGCGTGGGGGCCACTTTGAACAGAGAGGACAAGGGGAGTTCCACACTTTGTCCTTCTCCTGGACCCTGCCGTACGTGCTTCTTCCCGATTTTAATTTGTACCTTTCCTTGTAATAAATCATGACTGTGAGTGAGTTTTAGGAGTTCTTTTAATGAATTATCAAACCTGAGGGAAGTTTGGAGGAACCCCCCTCCTCCTTGTAGTTGGTGTCAGAATTAAGGAAGCCTTTGGAACTGTGCCCTCTAACTTTGTAGGTGGCCCTAATTCCTCACAAACCCTGTATGAAGCTTGTACCCAAGCAGTTATAGCCTTCTACAGATTGCTTTGATTTTGGAGAAGATAAGAAAGAGGCTAATTCTCAAAATCCTGCTTCTGGGGAATTGTGTGTCTAGTCCTCCATAAGACTTTCTTTGGGAAATATCAACTCTTACTTAAAGAGTTGGCTATGTGGCTTTAGGAAATTTACTACCTCTCTATATCTTATTCTTTATTTATAAAAATGGGCTAAGAGCATCTTCTAAAATGGAAATAGTAACAATACAGGCTTCTCATGAGGATCAAATTAGGTGTCATACATAAAGCACCCTGCACTTAGGAGAACTTTAGTAAATGAGTACCCTCTCCTGCCCTCACCAAAAGTGAATTTAAAAACACAATGATGTTACCATAGCCTCAGGTCACTGCCAATGATTTCAGCTGTGAATTCTCTTCTTGTTATTTTGTTCTTCCCTATATACTTATTGTATTATAGAAGGCATTTTTCAAGATGCCAGATTATAATTACGTGGCCAAATAAAATGAGCATTTACCAAATAACCAAGAAACACTGGGAGACAAGTTTGAGTTCCCTTTAATATTAAAAAAAATTCGTGACTTTTAAGAGTGAAGTTTGGGGGGTTTTGTTTGATTTTTTTAAGGGCTATTTATTTTTGAGAGGAGAGAGAATGAGAGAGAGAATGAACATGTGGGGGAGGGGCAGAGAGAAAGAGAGAGACAGAATCTGAAGCAGGCTCCAGGGTCTGAGCTGTCAGCACACAGCCGGATGCAGGGCTCGAACTCATAAACGGTGACTTTATGACCTGAGTCACAGTTGGATTTTTAACTGACTGAGCCACTCAGGTGCTCCTTGAGTGAAGTTTGGTTTTAAAAGTCTTTTCCCAGCCATCTATTTTTTTGCTGATGGGAGTGTAAACTGGCACAATCTCTCTGGAGAACAATTAGCAATACTTATCCTAAGCCGTTCAAAGTGTTTAACAGGCATCTGTTATGGCTGAGCTCGAATAAGATGCTCTTTAAAGGAACACCCTTAAAAATTATGACCATCTTTCTAATCTTTAGGGGGACTTAGGTCACCTTGGTCTTCTTGTTGACCAAGTTAGGCAACGGGTAAGCACCACTGTCCTTAGAATCAGGGGAAAGAAGCCCACAGAGGGAGCATGGCTAGACAGCTTAGAGAAACACGCCCCGACCTCTTGATGGGCAGAGTTAGTTGCCAGAGTTGGAGAGACTGATTTTTCTAGGACCCTAAGTCCTTCTGGAAGGGCAGAAACATTACTCCAATCTTTGGTTCCTCAGATTCAAAGTTAAGGAGTTCTGTTACAAAAGAAACTCATAATCCAAACCAAGTTCCACTGGCAAGAAAAGGCAGAGCTACTCCTGAAATAAAATGACCTTGAAAATGGATTAACTGAAACTGGTGATCTGGGACCACACCAAAGGGCTTATGGGTTTGTTAGGGAGGACAGATTCTGACCCAGCACGAGGCTGATGCAAGAAGTGTCCTCATCCGCCCTGACACCCTGAATCACTGAGTATAAGAGCATGAGCTGACAAACTGCAATCCAGACCTCCAAGTGGGGTCACTACTGTGACCTGGGCCACGTCTGACCAGAAACAGGATGCCAGCAGCAGTCAGATAAGCAACTATCAACAATCTATATGGGACAGGTCTTCAAAACTGACAGAAAGTGATAAAAATAAGGAAGACAGAGAGCACACTATCACACTGTAGCTCTCCTTCTGCATTTGGAAGAGGACGGGACCACTGTGGGACTGAGTAAGACTCCTGGGGCTCAAACCTACAGGGAGGGCTGCCTAAAGAGAAAGACACTGAACTTCCTGATAACTAGGACACTGATTACCACCAACAACAACACACAGGGGAGCATACCTGGCCCCTGAATTTATATAACAGGTCATGGCAGTTCCTTCTGCATACCTTTTGACCCAGCGGTTCTGGTCTCTTTCTAGGAATTTATTGTAAACCAATTAAGGAGGTCTGGAAAATAGGCGTATAGAAGAATATCACTGCAATATTCCTTTAAGACTGAAAAACTGGACTCAACCTAAATGCCCAGCAACTAGAAACCAATATGTTCAATTATTATATATTCCAGTTTAAAGACACCTTGACTACATCAAAAGGACTTCATCCTGTAATCTGTTAAAAGTCTGTTCTCTTGGGGCACCTGGGTGGCTCAGTCAGTTAAGTGTCCTGACTTCAGCTCAGGTCACGATGTCATAGTTCTTGAGTTTGAGCCCTACAACGGTCCCTCTGCCATCAGCACAGAGCCTGCTTCAGATCGATCCTCCTCTTTCCCTCCCCTGCCCTTCCAACCGCCACAAGTGTTCTCTCAAAAACAAAATAGACATAAAAAAGAAAGTCTGGGGTTGCCCGGGTAGCTAAGTCAGCTAAGTGTCCAACTTTGACTCAGGTCACAATCTCACAGCTCATGAGCTCAAGCCCTGCATCGGTTGCTCTCTCCCTCTTTCTCTCTGCCCCTCCCCGGCTCAAGCTTTCTCTCCGTCTCAAAAATAAATAAAAACATCCAAAAAAAGTGTTTTTTAAAAATATTTTACATCTCTTAAACCAGTGGTTCTCGAACTTTTGGTTGCAAAACTCCAGATTCTAAAGAGTTTTTAATAATATCTACTGATATTATTAATCACATTATAAAACTGACAAATTTTAATTTGTTTTCATTTGTTTTAACAAAATTTTTGCTTGCTAATTTGTTAAATAATAAGGTCATTATATTCTAACACTTTATGAAAAATAACTTTATTTTTTAAAACAAAATATTTGTTTTACATTTTGCAAATTTCTTTAATGTCCGGTCTAATTGAAGACAGATTCTCATATCTG